TTCTGCTCAACAGTTGCAGCTGTGTGTCAAGATCTATAAAACTGGTGGCTAGTCATTGACTGTTTTGAAAGGTTGTTCAATACTAAATCCATTCCCTTTGCGGCTGCCATTTAATTACATCTTGGACCTTAAACTTCATTTTCAAGCTATTTAACTTTTAGAACCCACCCTGTGCCTTCTGCTTCTGGGATGCCAGGGATCGGCAACTGTTTAATAATGGATGAATGGAGACAATGGTTTCATTCCTAGTTCCCAGGTACCATAGAAACTTTTGTTTGCTTTTGGGGATAGTACCATGGTCTAGTTAGCTGCTGACATCTGCTTTAACCAGCATCACCAAGGAACAGCAAGGCCTTGGGAATTTCCCAGAAACTTCTGAATCTAAATCAAAGTAATTTGCATGCAAGAGGCAGAGGTTTGTAACCAAACCACCTTTGCAAGCGGCGGTTCCTACTATTGCTGGAGCCTTAAGCAATGTACGCTGCCAAATTCCTCAACAAAGAAAGCTGTATAAATTGTATACTTGTTTTTTACTAAGCCAGACAACATAACGAAGGTGCTTTGGACAAATGCCAGCAGGACTAATATACTGAAACATTCGGAAGGATGCATGATCCCAACATAGTGGCACAATCAAGACCGTGTGAAACCTTCTGAAGGACTGAAATGAGCCTGCGATATAAAAAGTCTGCTAGATCATTGCAATATAATAAAGCTGTATATCCAAGCATGTCCATATACAGTACATTCACTGGCGAGAGAATCTTAAACAAAGTCTACATGACAAAGGAACAAGCTTCACAGTCCTCTTGGATGTCATCCTGCTACCCACCACCAATCCTCTGCATTAGTTCATACTCTGTGAATGAGGATGCCAGCTGGCACCAGGCTATGCACTCAACATGGGAAAAACGGTCCTAGCTTCTTTGACCACAAGCCCTCCATAACCCAACACTGATTCAGCGAGACAGGTTCAAACCCCTCTAATTGGCACACTATTCTTCAGCCTCCAGAAAACTCCCTGCCCACTGTGATCGGAAGGCAGGGACAGGACAAGGCAATGTAGCATGGGCCTGTCTAAAACCATCCATCAGAAGGCCTCCATTAAAACGACTCTCACTGAGCTCAGACGCCAGGGCAGATGGCTACAGAAGCCAATTCGCAGCAACCAGAAGCGTCTCGGGCTTCCCACAAACAAAAACTCTGCATGGGCTGCCTTAAAGAAAGTGAGGGACCTAGATTTGAGTCCCCCCCCTTCTGTTTGACCTCAAGGGCCATACAGTATAAACTGCACTGAATCCACAAAGGCGTTTCACAGGGCCAGAAAGTCTCATCAGTATAGGTCTTTCCATAGGACGGACAAAGCTTCACGTTATTTAAAACCATTCCTTCAAAAAAAATTAATGTGATCCAAAAAAATTCTTGAAAACAAAGTAGTTCACATGTAGAGACGCGAACCGACATTATATTTTGAAATCTTAAAATTAAAACGTGTCTGATCAGGACACTCTTTCTCTCCCTCTTTTTCTGGCAAGTTCCTGGTTTTTGCAGTCTTGTCTTTTAAAATTCACAAAATCTGTTCTGGAACAATTTATTTTGAAGAAAATCAAAGTTTATCCATTGTTCGAGGACAGGCTTGTTATTCCAGGTTATTCCTAAGCAGTGGCTTTTCCTCCTTATGCTGGGAATAGTTACAAGGAGGGAATCAAAGCTGAACTACAAGATCAGATACTCCCTCACTAAAAGAAAGTAAACCACGGTTTTGTTTTGAAAAACAGACAGAAGCAGTGGAGTTTGCTAAAAGCCCTCGTGCAATTTACCTTCTATGTCCTATCCCCACCCCCTTCATGTCTTCGGGGGGGCTGACCTGGATAAGCAGACCAGGCTGCTCTTGAGCCCCCGCTGTTGACTTCAGACCATGTGCCCCAGATACACCCCAGCCACACTCCCCCTCGTGACAGACGGGCTCGGCACACCCCTGAGGGCCCTGTTGCATGTCAGACCACAGCACGTCTCCTGCTGGGGGTCTGACAACACAAAACCGTCTAGCACCGCACACAATTCAGGGCACTGAGCAGGAAGACGCTTCAGTCCGGACTCTTCAGTTCTGGGAGACTGTGAGGAAATTACTTTTTACTAAAGCATTTCAAATTAAACCTTGACAAAACAGTAGAGGCAGCGTTATTGTATTTCTTCCTCCAGCCATTTTCTTGTCTATGTAAAATCCCACCCGTGGAAGTAAATGCACAAACCATTTAGTTCATACCTCACTAATTCTAACCAACAAGACTCTAGATCCTTGTTCAAAAAAGTTTTAGAATTTCTTTTCACAACAGTGCTCTTGTACACACTAGTACTATCACCTTACCCTTAACAGAAGATAAGCTATTAGTGAAAAAGTCCATTAACTACTGTGATAGATTGGCCCCTAAAAAAGTATTTAAAACTTTAACAGAGCTAGTATAATATAGTAATGGAAAACCACTGCACAGTAATACTAGCACTTTTTAGCTGCTGACTTTATAAAGAAACGACAGCCAACATCTGTTGAAAAACTATGACTATGAAGGAGTGTTACAAAAACACTGAGAACCAAAACTCAAAACCACATCAATCAAGACATACCATAGAAGAACCTCAAAAGAACATACCTTTCACTGTCAAGAAACAGGAGATTGAGTCTGGCATGTGGTTGTCCTTGTTCAAGAATAAAATGTCTAGCTTGTAGCAAGACAAGAAAGTACGTTCTAAAGTGAATGTTCAAGGGGCAGATCATATTATAACAGGTGATAAGATACAAATCATTGGCATATTACAAACTTTATCACTCTTTTAGCAAAAAAAATTTGCCAATTCCAAAGGCATTTTGTTGCCCCTTTCTAAGAATTGTTACCAAGTAAGTGTTGTTTTTTCCTGGTATTAAGTGTTTTTGCCCAGTTCTATTTCCCAGACTTTCAAAATAAAACTGAACGTAAACATTGCAATCAAATGTAATGTAATCTCATTTATAGAGGCTGATTTGAAGGGCAGTTCTAGCACTGACTGCTTCTGGGTGAAATGGCAGCACCTGAAAGGCCTGTTTCCTCACATTTTCAGCACATCTACAGGAAGGGCGATGACACTGGGTGATAGAAGGAACAATGGAATGAATTGAAATTATATGGTATATAATATAAATGAGTGTTTAAGGGTGTGACTTTGTTCTGCCCGTGGACACCAGTTTGGTGTAATCATTGTTTAGGCGGATATACTAAAAATCCTAAAACAAACTGTAGCTTTATGTGCACTGTATCATTGATGCATCTAAAAACAGAACTCTTTTGGAATTCTAGAAGTTGGAACAGGCTAATATTCTTTACTGCAGCATTCCTTAACACTATTTTACAATATTCTGCACAACTAACTATAAGGAAAACCATCTTCAGGAGGTACTACTAAGGCTCCATAACAAAACAGAGATTCATCTCTGTTGCTGAAATTATTTCTGAAAACTTCAGCTGTGAGTTATAAATGGATTATTTTGATAGATAATGTTGAATTGTATATTGGAGTTTAACATCCGGGAAATTGTCTTTTAAAGACGGAACCCAATCAAAAAGCACAGACTGTATACTCAATCCCTTAATTTAAAAACTTCTCTAGTAGATCAGATCCATGTACAGTATCTGGGTCTAACCAAGGAAACGAACTTGAGGTCTTTCAAATGCGATTCCTCCCATAATTCCAAGAGTGCTAAAGTAAAATATTCAATAAAAATGTTTTTTGAATTAATAGTAATCAAAACCACATTTAGTTAAAACACAAAAATCCCAAAAGCTTTTTTTTCACTACTTAAAAATGCTGAATGGAAAAAAGTGCATAAAAAAAGCAAAATTTTTGTTTAGACTGAAAAGATGTTACCAATTCAATGTAATCAGATGAGAAAAACATTGCTAACCTACTTTTTGTTTGGTTTTTCCTTTTAAAAACCCCCCTCATTAAAAGCCAGTGGAATAGGACCTGGAGACAGTCAGTCAGTTGAGGCTCAGGCATACTGGTACCCTTCACCTTGCCCCATAGCAGAGGAAGCACGTCTTGTCACTCAATGGAGTCAAACACTTCAGTAACTTTGTATCGGGTTCAGTTCATTCATTTTGAAGGGACAAACCACTGATGGATACACTAATCACATTTAATGGTAACTTCTGAAAACTAAACATACTTTCATTGGCCCGCCTGAACAGGAACATTCCAAGTTAATGAGCAAACTTAGACTGTAATAAACAAATCTGAAAATGATACCTCCCATGCAGATATTTTTCCATGTTGAAAAGACAAGAGTGCACAACTATACTTTTTACATTTACAAATGAACCATTTGGTCTCCAAGGAAAAAGAACATTGAAATGTTACATATAGATAGCTCTAAGCACAATTTCGAACATGTTTTATGTAACTATTGCATGACACTGGGGTTTAATGACTCCTGTGCATGTCAAGCCTTGCAGTTAAGGTTTTCCCAGAGCTAAAAAGATCTGAGTTCCTCCTTAACTGTAAAATCATACTCTTCACTTGCTGGTCAGAATGAATTTGAGTACTTCACAAAAGCAGTTTTTGCCATACACACACAATTGGAGAGCCTATTACAAGTCTTTTCATAATATTCAAACCCTGAAGCAAAGAACAGACACTGAAAGAGGTGGGAGAGGGGGCACAGGACTTAGATTTAATGCTCACTTTTGAATACTGAACGCTAGTGTACAAATTAAAATAATTTACACCCTCAGCTTCCACAGTTTAATAGTGTGGTGTTGTCGTACACCTTGCAGATTCTGTTTACAATGAAGCACCAGCAAGAAGTGAGTGAGACCGGGAGAAACATCTTCTGGAGACTTTAAAAGATTTAGAAACAACTTAAGAGCTTCATATTTTGCAAAAGAGAATAAGAGTCAATAGTGGAGTTTAAGTAAGAGTGGGTGCAGTTTTGGCACCAGACAGCACAGGGGAGAGGTCATACTCACATGGCGGCGGTGCTGGGGGAGCCCGCTGGAGTGTGACAGCTTTGGTAGTCCTCTGCACACTCGCAGATCAGCCGCAGGGTCCGAACTGCAAAACACACCCGGACACATACATGCAGTCAGTAACTGGGGGGACAGTCTTCCCCACGGTCTAAAAGTCACTGAGCGGGGGCACCCATCTGCCCTCTTGAGGCCTCACCAGGGGTGCTGGAATGGGTCCAGCAGCCAGTGCTCACCAGTGGTGTTCTATCAACTGGGATTTGACAGAAGAGTGAACGAAGTGACCAGAACTGGAGAAATAACCCAGCTAAGGTACACAGAGGAATCTACCCACATTTCGTTATGGCATTGTTATAGAACAGTGTAGTTATTTAAAGTGGTGAAATTTGTCCAGTCATTCTCAAATTTACAAAGCATGGAAAACCACAGAAGAAACACTGCACAGAATTGTGGCGTATCTCCACATTATGCTGCATGATGCACAAAAGCCCTTCATTCCAAACCAAAGTGTGGTGCAGAAGTTTCTGAACTGGACGAATCCCCTGGAATATTTCCACTTTTATTTTGACATGTTTCACGATAACACTCAACTGTTATGGTTGAGTTCTGAACAAGGATGAAAGAAACACAGGAAAATTCCCAATCTTGAATGCCACATTTTCCTGAGCAACTGTATGAGTCAATCTCTACATGAAATATGGTAATTCAATAACCTGCCCAAGGGTAATCTGTGGGTACTTCAGGACCTGGGCAAGACTGCTGGAGTGTTTACAGATAAATTGAGAATATGAGGCAACAGGAATTAACTTTAAATAAAATCTACTTTAAACATGGATAAGGAATGACAATTTACAATGTTCCAGGCTGTTAAACAAAATCCTATTAATTCCATGATGGAGTTTGGGTTGAATTTTTCATAGAATTCACCAATAAAGATAAAGTAGATACCGATATCTTACCAATGCATTCCAGTTTCTTTTGTGGACAGAAGTCTTTGGAGATCAGTCTTAATTCTTGCACTGCAGCTTCATAAGGGTAGGAACCAGAGAAGGAAGCCGATTCTGGGGGGAAGAGTTTTGAAGCAACGCCCAGATTGGCAGGTGTGAAATCTTTGGAAAGCTTCATACTTTTTTCAAACTCCATCTCCTTCAGCCAATACACTTTCCTGAAAAAGGAAAACAAAATGTTGACTCAAAAGGCTGAACTGCTTCAATAACTAGGAATGGCATTTCCTGACACCAGGAAAATGTCAATACTTCACACTGATGTAGCTCAAAATGAAAGAGAAAAGTGATAATTGTTCAGAGACATGGCCAAGTACTCTAAATGTAAACTTCTCACCACATGATATGGCATTTTACTGAAGTGTGGTCTTCACTTATGTCCTTCCAATCCCCAAGGATTAAATTCAGAACTTTGGACAGCTCTCAAGATTATCTGTGCACTGTTTAAACCAGGAGAGGAACCACCTGGAAGGCTGAGGTTTCAGCAGGTTTCATTCCATCTGGGCTCTAAGCCAAATCATTACTGGCTAAATGGGACCAATTTAACAACTTCTCCAACTCTTCAGGTAATGATCTATATAACTCGTCTCAGATGAAATTTAGCCATGGAACAGACAGAAGGATGTCTGACACCCTCAATAATTAATTCTGTTTTCTGTGGCTAGATTTGCTTTGTGTTTCTTTCACTTAAGAGACTAACTAGAAACTAGGGGTTTCTAATCAATCTCTAATGTTCTAGTAACATGCAATCTGTGACTGGCTTGAGAAACAACAGATGTTCCTGGCAGAAGCACTGGAAAGAGCATCTCAGTTTTAACATATACATTGCTCTTATCTCAACCTCATTTGAATGTAGTCCTTCAAGAAGAAAAGAATGGAACTAGGTTGCAAAAGTTTCAAATAGATTCAGATTACATAACCTTGTTCAAGCCGTGTGAGTTTTTCACAGGGGCCCAGAACGAAATTTTAATAAGGGTACTACTTTTCACCTGTTTATTCTTCACTGCCACATGAAAGAACAATCTCAACTGGCTCTACTGCATTAGCAGAAGTCACATTATTCAAGGTGGAAGTTTGGATTAAGCAATTAAAAAAAAAAACTGCCCCTAATGGCAAGAAATTTCAACCTCTACTCCCATCTAACCCAAATGTGCCTTAATTGAACTAATTGACAGCAACCCTTCTAAGTGTTCAGAATTTAAGAGGACAGAGACCCGAACCCCACCACCCAACATTGCACAGCAGTGCCGTCTACAGTGGAGCAAGTGGACACCAGAGCACCAATTCAATTAGTTCAGGATGGTAAACAGTAACCCAAAATATCTGTAATGAGATTTTGATCTGGTTAATATAGACTTCCTAAAATATGAAGTCATGGATTTTGTGGCATTAGAGGTAAGAAGGAGGGGACACTTCAGGCCTTCTCCCTCTGAATGACCAGGATTTAAATGAGTTCTGGGTCTCAGCAGGTAGGAGTCTTTTGCAAAAAACTCCTTTTGGGGAAAAAAAAATGGACTTTTGCACAAAGTATTTAGAACATTTTCAGTTGTATATACACCACGCAGAAATAACCAGATGCAGAATATGCACAGTATAGTGGATGGGGGCTTGTGCAACAATCCCCTCCAGCCTAGACAGCCTCAGCAACTGTCCTACCTGAAGAGGGCCAGGAGTGGAGCCCAGATCGGGGGAAAGAAGATCTCCTCGATGCTGGCGACACACCGGTCTTTGGAGACTGCAGTGTTCAGGCACTCGAAAGACAAGATGCACAGAGAGAGGAGTCGATCTGGGTGGGGGAGAAAGAGAGCAGTCTGTGTCAGGACCTGCTTAATGCAGAAAGATCCCAGAGACTGTGCATGCTCTGGTGCTGTGCCAACATGTACAGCGGCTCAGGGGAATATGCAGGGAAACTCAACAAATGTGCAAATTTAGAATTAAATTTAGTTTGCTTAAAAAATACTTTAAACCTCTGTCAATCTTGGGTGACTAGTCAAGACAGTTTTATTATGCAAGAACATGTACATTGTAGGATTGACAAACCATAGACCATAGAATATTTTTATATTTAAAAATCCAGCACCCTTTAAAACAAAGTCCTAAGGAGTGTTATTACAAATAGAACTACTCTTTTGGCTGTCCGAGATTTGAAAAAGTCACAATTCAATGAGTGCTCACTCAAATACATGTAGGTGGCTGTGTATTGCTTATAAAATGCTGCTCTCTAGTGGTCAAGCAACATACTCAACGATACAACTGAAAAGGGTATTCACAAATCAGAATCCCACCAGTTTTTCACATCTACAGTGTTTCAGCTCATCTCAGACCTCTGACAGAGCTAGAGATTTTAACTCTCATGAAGTTGTTTTAGTCATCAGTTATTGTGTATAGTACCAACAGCTGCTCACAGGGGCCCAGAAAGGGGCACATTCGAGAAATGGGGACTGTTTCTCCGATGTCCCCTTCTTCCCCATTGTTCATGCCTTCTCCATCCGGTAACCCCTTCCTCCCAAACCACAGACAGCCCCAATAATCCCCCCACCTCCCCGAGACAGCTGTGCACAGGTATGGGCTCAACAATGCTGTGATGGCGACCACTGCTACATCTCCCCTCCTGGCCTACTGAACCTGTGCAACAAAGAGCTTCCCATCCATGGCCTTATCGAACCTTCCACTGACACCAGGGAAGGGAATGCAGCGTGGGTCCTCATCACTAACACCCACACGGGAGGCAGAGTGGGTCCTCATCACTAACACTAACCAGACGAATTTGCCTGAGCTAGGGAAGGGTAGTGAAGAATTAGCATAGTACAAAACACAAGGGAATACTGAGACCAAAAACCACAGATAGTGGAGTAGACCTGCCCTCAGCTCATGACCATTTCTGAAGAAAGATGGTGTCTAATATTATGCTACTGCAACCTAAACATTTAATTAGAGAGAGGCTCATTCAAAACTATGCGAAGGATAAATATGAAAAGGTCAGTCATCTTCGTGCAAAGATAAGGCAAAACTCTATTCACTTTAATAGGCAAAGCCTATGGATGGAAAAAAAGAATTAAAAACAAAAAAGCATGCTACGAGTTGTACTGGAACATTTAGAGAAGGGTTATGGGACAGACCAATACCTCCAGAGCTCCGATTTGCAAAGTTTGGGAATGCTGTCTCCTGACTGTGAATTTGGCACATCTATCAGTAAACGAAATGCCAGAGACAGACGTCAATACTAACAAGTCTACGAAACATGTCTTAGCAGAGAAACAGGCTCACGGTGACCTCCAGTACCTGGAGCCGGCAGCAAATTCCTGCAATCCCAACATTATCAAAAACATTTTATCTTTGAAGATAAGGAACGACAAAATGAATTTCCTAGAATGTAGTATGAAGAATACTTTGTTCTCTTTAAAAAAATCCAGGTTTTAAAACAAAAAATTAAGTAATAAAATACCACGTCAATGCTACAGTACTTTTATAAAAACATAATAAAGATAAAACATGGACCCTGCCCCAGAGATAAAAAGATCTTTTAAAATTCGACTTTATTCGGGCTTCCAGACAATGTGTATCTACATCAGTACTGACATCGTTACTAGCAGGAGAGGACAAGCGTGCTTCAACCCAGGCAGCCCGTACAGCACGCCTGGCATGCTCGTGACAGCCACAATTACACAAGCCCGGTCCCAACCCGCGCAGGAAGGAAATCTAAGGCAACATGCAATGGTGAAGTAAACAAAATTTCACATTTTATCAGAGCGCAAACAACGGAACGAGTCTTCCAGAACAGATCTGAGACAAACACTGCGAAGAGATGAGCTATTTATACATTCAACCTATACTCCCTAGAAGCCAGACTGTAAACAACAACAGAGAAATCTATGCTCCTTCAGAGATAAGCAGGTAGCTTAATTCTTTTTAAACAGAGTAGGGAAGCTTTATTCAGCTTTAGGGAAGAAGTGATATATTCTTTAAAAAAAGGTTGATATGATCCATTTAGTTTTAGTGTTCTGGAAAACAAAACATCTGGAGATTCAGACATTTTATCTTGACATTGTTTAGTGCTATTATTTATGCTGAAGGCAAACTAAATACATTCCCATCATTTTTATACATTAAACCATAATTGGTGGTTTCATGCACTTCATGGAAGCCGGCAACGATACCTGGCCCCTCCACCCCACAGCAGCCACTCACCAATGGAGTTGTGAATCTCCTTCACGACGCCCTTCAGGTGGTCCTGCAGCGCCTTGTCTTCCAGCGCTTGGACCCGGGACCCCGGGACCACCAGCGACTTTGGCCCACCCTCCAGGCCGGCTGGCGGGCTGTCCAGCTGGGCGAGGAACTGCTCCAGGTCCTCGAAGGAGCTGTCCGCGTCCACCCCGCCGGCCGGCTCCTCCCGGTTGGCGTTGTAGTCCTCGATCAGC